TGGTTCAGCAACAGGGGCTGGCAGGCAGAAATATCTGCTGTCCAGAAACCGAGGGAGGGGACCTAGGAGTGCTTCCCTGCCCCCTGCCTCCCTTACTGTCTCTCGGTCACCCCCAGACTGGGCTCTACAGTGTTCACTGAACCCCTGAGGAAAGTCCTGAGCCCTGTTTTTTTTGTCCAGGGCCTGCTCCCCGAGCTGAAGGTATATGTCGTGTCTCCTGAGTGGAGGATGCCTGGCTCCTTTCCTGAGGGCCCAGCCAGGCCCCATCCTCCAGACAGCATTGTACTTTTCTCCCAGTGCTCTGAGGACTCATGGGTTTTGCGTATTTTAAAGATTTTCTTTTCAAGTACATGATGCATTTATATTGTTTTCAAACCCAGCTTCACCTGAAAGGAGCGCAGTGACAGCTGTGAGCCACAGTCACCATCCCTGAGTGTCTCCCTGCCTTTCTTAGCCCCCCTGCCTTTCTTAGCCCCCCCGTCTTACTACTGCCTGGTGTGTCCTTACAATATTTATACCCAGTCACACAAATCCACCTCTCCTGTCCCACACAAAAGAAGAGACCTGTGGAACAGCACACCTTGGCCACCTTTTGAGGCGCTCTGCCTAAATGCCCTGCCCCCCACCCTGTGGTGCGCTATTCCTTCCCACAAGGCCCCGCTCTGCTGTGAATGAGACCGGCTTGCTTTCTGTTCCTCAGCCTCAGTGGACCACCTGCACTTGCCACCCACCCCTCCCAGCAGCCACAGCAGTGACTCGGAGGGCAGCCTGAGCCCCAACCCACGCCTGCACCCCTTTGGCCTGTCTCAGACCCACAGTCCTGCCAGGGCCGTGCCCCGCGCCCCCTCTGCCCTGTCCGGATCTCCTCTCCTTACGGCTCCGCATGTGAGTATCCTGGGCCTTTTGAGGCAGAAGGAACCTGCTCCAAAAGGTGCTGTAGTGGCCGGTGGGGAAAAGCAGGACCCTCACAGCAAGCTGCATCTCCAGCCCTTTTCATTTAGATACAGGGTCTCTAAGTCACCAAGTTGTTCAGCCTGGGCTCGAACCTGCGTCTCAGCCTTCAAAATGCCATGAGTGCAGACAGATGTCATTACATGGGCTTGATTTGTACTGTTTAAATGCAAGTTCTCTTTAATGGCTAAGTGTCTTAGTCTATTTTGTGTTTCTATAACAAAATGCCCAAACTGGATTTGTGATAAAGATGGTATTTTATGTAAAGTTGTTAATCATGTTATAAATCGCCTATAATATTTTTAAGACTATATAGAAACCAGTTCACTTTATTTTTGTGTACTGGGGATGAAACTCAGGACCTTGGGCTTGCCAGGCAGATGCTTATGCTGAGCCACCTCCCTGTGCCCATCCCCCCCCTTTTTTTTTTTTGTCTTTTTGAGACATAGTTTCACTATGCAGTTTAGGCTGGCCTTGAACTCACCTTGTAGCCCAGGCTGGTCTCAAGCTTGCAATGAACCTGCTGCCTCAGCCTCCTGAGTGCTCCCGAGTGCTGGGATTACAGGTGTGTACCACGATGCCTGGCTTTAGGAACCAATTCACTCTTAAGAATGATGAACTGTTAATGATCTCTGCTTTTGATTTGGAAAACAGACTCTTTCTATCCGTGAAAGATGAAGGATGACTCAGAATTTCTAACCTCAGTCTCTCATTCGCAAGCTCAAGTACTTGACCTTTCTCCATGTCAGCACACCTTCAGTTGATGTCAGAGCTGAGCACCTCATGACTCCTGCTCTTCCACGACTGTTGGCTCAGTCTCATGGTGCTGCTGCTTGTGAACTCTGAGAAACAGGGCTAGTTTCGGGTCCTCCATGGGTCGGACCTAGAGTACTAAGTCATAGCTTGGTTTCTATGCCAGATGTAGCCACATTTTTTAGTCTGGGCTGAGTGAGATGTGCTACTGTGCTCTTTATCTTGGCTGGACGGCCAGAGATGCCCAAGGACGGGGCCTGCACACTTGTCCCTGGGACTCAGACATATTAGCCGTACACAGAGGGGAGGGGTAACCTGTGATAGAGGGCTGGTGAGATGGCTCAGCGGTCTAAGGACTTGCTTAGGCAAGTGTAGGGACTAAGTTCAATCCTCTGCACCACATGCTGCACCAGCCCTGCCCCTGGACATGCTGAGCCAGCTGCTGAGACTGGTGTGATGGCACATGCCTGTAATCCCAGCACTTGGGAGGCTGAGAACAGGAGGATTGCTACAAGTCAGAACTGCATAGTCGCCAAAAAACAAACAAACAAACAAACAAACAAACAAAAAACCTGTATAGTGAGATCCTGTACCAAATACATAAAATAAATAAACAAATAAAAATAAAGACCACATTATAATCCCTAGTACCACCAAAAAATAAAAAAGACCACATTATAGGCTGGGGAGATAGCTCAGTGGTCTAAGTGCCTGCCTGGCAAGTACACACAAGGTCCTGGTATTGCATACTATGCCAGCCCCACAAGTGGATGTGGTGGCGCATATCTGTAATACTAGCACTGGGGAGGCTGAGACAGGAAGATCACTGCGAGTCTGAATTGCACAGTGAGACCCTGTATCAAAAAAATAAATAAAATAAAAGTAAAGGAAGATCACATTATAAAAGCACACCTTCACCAGGAGAACCACAAAACTTACACAGAGCAGAGCTCCAGGTGGCTCTTTCTTCACTCTGAGGCCAAGAAATCTCCAGGGATGTGGGAATTGAACCCCATCCTTTTACTTTTGATGTGTGGGGTGCGAGTGG